ACCCCAACCGGAAAAGTCTGCGGCAATACAACACTTGTACTGCCATTAATCCTAATGCAACAATTTCATGCCGTCAAACACAACTCGATTGATAACTCAATATGATAGATCAACATGTCATTGCTTCACCATACTAACGTCGGATTCCGAAGCGAATGAAAATGATGATCTTTCAAAAAGAATTACAATCCTTATGTGATTGAATGGATGAAATCAAAACAGTATATCCCATATACCATCTTTGCATCAGAATTTCTTATATCTTATATAAAAGTGATCGATCTAATTGTGTAACCTATGGATGATCAATGTATCGCACAACTTCACCATACTAATGTCGGTTTCTGAAGCATAATCAACATCAATCATCCAAATCGTACACAATAGATGCCAAATTTAATTAATCGTTTATTGTTAAATTCATTCTGTGTTTTAATCGAATCAAATACAGAAAAGACGGAAATTTAACAGCTATCAGATCCATGGTTTCGTAAGTGGCTCTGATACCACTGAAGGAAAATTGCGATCTAAACGCAGCGGAAAACAAAAATTTTCCTTTAGTGATCCTTACGAATGAGCATGGTCAGTGATAGAATCGTTACCTCTTTGTGGCGATTCAGATCTTTGATGCAGCGATCACAAGCGTTGATGAAGTGCAACGCCTCTACTCAGTCCACACGAACAGCTTCCGGTCACAGTGCTAGCTGCTTACGAACGGAATTATTTGAGTGAGAAAAGAGAATCAAAAACGAAAATGCATCAAGTGAAAGCTTCATCACAAGGGTTCCTTTTATAGACTCTCTTGTGGGCTGCGGGCTAAAACCCAATTCACATGATCCATAATAATATTATATATTATTATAATAACTATTATTATAATAAATATATTTATTTTATTATTATTTTATAACCATTATAAAATAACAATAATTATTATTATATTATCCGAATTTCTATTTTTTCACTTAAGTGCACCGTACCTTACGGTGTTCCTTTTTGATTTCTCTATCTCTCATCAAACTGTCCTTATGTGTGTGACCCTGTAGGATTTCGTAACGTTGGTAATTATATTAAATTATATATTTAACATAATAAACAGTAAGCGGTATCTAGCAACACATCACTGCTACCCAAGTCACGAAAATGTCATGTGATCTGACAAAACCTTTTTCGTGATAATATATGTTTGTACAATTACCCTTTTGCCCCTATGTCTATATTGAACACAAGGCATACACTGTGTCATCCTTGTCCAGTTCAATATTGGGCCCTTAGACATTTCTCCTGTTATGCAGGATTGGCAAATTCCATCTAGGACACTCATGTCCCTCAGCATGCTTCGTGGAGTGCCCATCAACTGTCTTTATGATCATCCAGTTACGGATAATGTTTGATCAGCAATAAAGCACCCGACTCTACATCTAGGGTCCATAGTGGTTTCAGGTCGAAGGGCGGTAATACACCATTATCACCATGAGAATAACTTATGACACTTTGCATAACATACTATGTAGTATTCTCATAGCGGGTCAATCCGGTATAAATATTACTCCTAATATTTATACCTATGTCAAGACTTGATAACTCTTTATCCATGATCCATGAGATGTGATCATCAGTCTATCTTCATAATAGTCTCAATGCTTTTAATGTTATCCCACTTTGCAATAAAGCTTGACTACGGATATTTTAAGAATAATGTCTTTATGTTTAATGGGATCTCATGATTAAGTCACACTTAACATTTCATTAAACAGACTAACTATTCTAGGGACTTTATTATTCTGAAAGACAAACATAATAAAGAAATACCTTTTATTATTAAACGAATAATCCGATACAAGTACCAAAAAGTATTGGCCTCTAGGGCTTACACCAACATAACTAAGTCCCCCAGTCTATTAATATGAATAACTAGGGCCCCCAAATGGACTAATAAAAGCTGGTCCCCCAGATGGGCTAATAAAAGGTGGAGCCACAGATGGGCTAATAAAAACTGGAGCCCTAGATGGGCTAATAAAATCTGGATACTTCTTAGGGGAGAATAATGTCATGAAAAGCTGAGAATTGGCCATGGACATAGGATCTACTTGACTCTGCGGGGGAGGACACATGTCCAACTGAGGTGTCTGACATACTACTACTCTCAGACGTTAGGTCTTCTTACCCTTACCCTTATCAGATCGATGTGGCATTTTACCTATTTAAAGAGAATACACATTTAATATATATCCATGAACATAAATAATAAATATTAAAAAAACACAATCTTATTGATATATATATTCATTAACACATTCAATACAAGGTTTCATCAAGTTAAATTGCAAAAACAAATTATTCAAAGTCTTCATGCTCTTCATCCATATCGTTATCGTTATCTAATGTGATATTATCCTCGGATCCAAACTCGTCATGCTCGTCGTCCACATCATTTTCATCCAACAATATAGAAGCATCAACTTGATGCGCCTCAACCATTGTATTCGACAAACTTGTAATTTGTTCAACTGCAATCACATCATTAATTTATTCAACTTCATCAACTTGGTAAGCAACATCTTCCACTAGATCTCCAGTTTCAATATGACCCAATGGTTTTGTTTTGATTACAACATACCCCTCTAACTTACGTGGTACAATTAAAGGATAAGGAACATAGTAAACTTGTCTAACAATATGTGACATTATGAAAGGGTCATACTCTTTGTACCTTCAGTTTATTCGAATCTCAACAGTACCATATGTCTTATCTATTTTTGTATCTCTAGCAAATGGGTCGTACTAGTCACAATAAAACAAGACAACTTTATTTTTTGAGTCCAAGTAATTGTATACCAACTTGTAGATATGTTTTAAAAAGTCATAGAAGTCATCCTCACCACCATCTGTAACTCCTTTTAAAAATACACCACTGTTTATGTTTTTTTTTCCCTTCAGTCCATGTCTCAATCTGAAATTTATATTTGTTCACAAAGTATGTGTGTCATTCATTTGTGCTTTGAATAGGGCCTTCAGACAAGTTTCTCAAATGGAGTATTTCTTGAGTCGGTGTAATAATGCATGACAATTTCTCCTTGAACCCTGCTGGAAAATGAGCATGTATGTGACCGGAGGTTGCTTGTACACCGGTGCTACGAAAGTAGGATGTTAAATTCTCTATAAAGAAACACACTATAAGTTTCAAGATAATAAGTTTTTCATTCATACTGTAAATAATATTAAACAGTTGGGACATACTTACTCAAGATATGGTTTAACTTCAACGCAGTTAATCAAGACATGAACATGTGCAGATTGCATTTATTTTTGGGTCATCCAATGCACACCTTTCTTTCTAGAGGGACGACTAGGAAGCCTGAAGACTGATAAGATAAATTGACTTCTTTCGTTAACATTTACTGGAATCCTTATGATTCTTAGAGTTAACATCAAGTGATTGAAATAGTGACTGCAAAAATGAGATGTTTCCTGATGCAAGTAATGCGCACATATTGATCCTTCAACTTTAGCTTTATTTTTCACTGATTACTTTGAATCACCCATGAACCTTTAAAGGGATACATCCACCTATATTAAACAGGGCCGCCAAGAAAAGATTCATATGCAAGATGCACATGTAGATGTTCCATAGAGTCAAAAAAATCAGGCGGAACTACTTATTCTGACTTATAGAGAATGACTAGAATATTTCGGTCCAACTTGACGATGTCATCCACTCTTAAAGATGACACACAAATATCTCTAAAAAATTGACTAATTTCAGTTAGTGGATTAAGCACATGATTGGGTAGTGAACCAAACGCAATTGGAAGCAATCGTCCCATAAAAATATGGTAATCATGACTTTTCATACCATGCAACTTCCTAGTGTTAACATCGGCACACCTTGCTAAATTTGAAGCATAACCATCGAGCATTATCAATTATTTTAACCATCAAAAAACTACTTTAGCTTCTTGGAAAGTTAGATTGTAATTAGCCTTAGGTTTTAATAATTTTCCATTCGGTTGACGCTTCAACTCTAACTCTTTTCGACTACACCAAATTTTCAGTCTTGTCTAGCCTTCTCATTGTCTTTAGTTTTGTCTTTAACATCCATCACTATGTTAAATACATTATCAAAAAAATTCTTCTCAATATGGATAACATCAAGATTATGGCGCAACAAATTATCTTTCCAATATGGGAGGTCCCAAAATATACGTTTCTTGTCCAATTGTGTGTGATCGCATATCCTTGAATTCTACATGCTTTACCAATATCTGTGAATTTTGGTAGTTCACAAACTTGGTTCCATACTTCACCTAGTGACAATCGAGGCAGAGGCAAATATGTTACTTGTTCGTCTTTTTTGAAATCAGTTTTGTTTCTTCTATACGGATAATTTCCTAGTATGAATCTACGGTGACAGTTAAACCACGAACTCCCCCCCCCCCTTTCCAACGTAAACGCCTTGATATTCTCCATGCAATGTGGACATCCCATTTTGCCATATGTACCCCATACAGACAACATGCCATATGTTGGAAAGTCGTTAATAGTCCACATCAAGGCAGCTCGCATACTAAAGTTTTTTTTACTTGATATATCATAAGTCCATTCTCCAATCCACAACCTCTTCAAATCATCAATTAAAGGTTGTAAGTACACATCGATTTCGGATTTTGGACTCGACGGTCCTGGAATGAGGTAGGTCAAAAATATGTATGGTTTTGTCATGCACATCTCATGAAGGAGGTTGTAAGGAGTTACAATAACTGGCCAACAAGAATATCCACTTCCAGACGCTTGGACATATGGAGTAAAACCATCAAAGCATAATCCAAGCCTCACATTTCTAGATACTACAGAAAAATCAGTATGTATGCGATCAAATTGCTTCCATGTATCGCCATCAGATGGATGTCGCATAGTGTCTGAACTTATTTTGTTTATATGATGCCATGTCATTTGACTTGCACTGTGCATTGAAGCAAACATCATTTTCAACCTTGGTATTATTGAAAGATTGACTTTACTGCTACACGTTTTTGCTTACCGCCAATGGCTTTAATACAAACTTTATATCTTGTACTCTTACAGAACTTACATTCCTCCAACGCTCCATCATTAGTACCAAACTCATTATCATAAAACAACATGCAACCACTAATACAATAGTCAATCTTTCTTACTTTTAAACCCAACTTCGACATCAACCTCTTTGCATCATAAAACCTTGTAGGCAAGTTGTATTTCGTAGGAGTCGCATCGAGCATCATTTTTTCGAAGAATTCTAAACACTGATCTGTAACATTCCAATTTGACTTGGCAGCCAATAATCAGGGCCGATCCTGACTTTTTAGAGGCTCAGGGCGAATGATAAAAATGGACCCCTAGTAAAAAATATAATTTAAAAAAAATCATTTATATAAATTGTAAATAACATCAACAACAATAAATAGTCATTTATTTGTGCAACTCACATAACAAAAAAAGTCATATTTTAATAAATATCATCAAAATATATTCTAGCAACTTAAAAAATAGTCTTCCTTCTAGCATTTTTTTGAAGCAAATTTCTCAATCAAGTCTTCATATTGTATATTCTCCAACAAATCATTCTCAATTGCAATCAATGCTAACCCATTAAGCCTTTCTTGTAACATGGTAGACCGCGAGTAAGATTTCAACAACTTCAATTTTAAAAAACTTCTTTCTACAGAGGCAACTGTCACATGAATAGTCAATCAAATTCTATATGCAACAATCGTATTAGGAAAAAATCCATACCTTTCAAAAATATTAATATATCAATAGGTCCAATATTTTCTATAGGCAATATATCTCTTAAGGGCCTTAACTCCACATATAATTTGTTCCCATCAATATCACATTGTTCATTATGTTTCAATGTCTCTTCCAAATGACTACAATAAAACTCTAAAGTTGCATTGTTCAATGACTGTAAATTTTGAGAAATAAACAAAAAACCAAAAACAATTTCATATTGTTGGTATTGCTCAAATCTCTTATTAAGAGATGCAATAACCTGACCAGCAAGGTAAAGAAAATAATTAACTTTAAAAGATTCCTCTTCAAATAGCTCAACTAGTGTGGTATTCAAATTCTAATCAAACTGTCTTTTTCTTCGAATTATAAGCTTTTGAGGAAATACTGGATCAATATTCAATTCAATGGCAATTTCTGTAGCATAATTCAAGGCGTTTTTGAAACTGGTATCTCTATATTCCTTAAAAAATGAAATCAACTCTGTTATTTTTTGCATAGCAACACCAATAACCATATCCCTTGATTGTAAGAGCTTGCTAACCACAATAACTGCGGATAATATTTCAGACCAAATAATTATCGCCGTCAAAAATTCAAAATCACCAAGCTCATTTGTTGCTAAGAATTTAGCTTCATTTCTTATTTTAGAATCAAGATCATTTTCTGACACTTCAAGTAAAGCTTCACTAAAATCTGACATTTGAGTTTTTATAGCATTGAAATTATCTACATGACTCTCCAACGAGTTGATGATAATGATTTTAGAGTCAATCATTTTACATTATCTTTTAAAATTTGTCATCTCTTAGTAGAATTAGCAAAAATAGTATAAATGCGTTGAATAACTCCAAAAAAATCTTTAGCTTTACGACAAGAGTTAGCCATATCACACAATGTCAAATTAAGACTATGACAAGCACAAGAAGTATAAAAGGCTCTTGGATTTATGTCTAAAAAATTTTTGTACACCTTGATGTTTTTCTTTCATATTTGACCCATTATCATAACCTTGTCCCCGCACATCAAATATGTCAAGATCAAGATTTTTCAGTTCATCTTGTAAAACACCAAAAAGCCATTGACCAGTTGTATCATTCACATCCAAAAATCCTAAAAAAAAAATTCTTCAACACTAATAGAATTTGAAGAAATGTCCATATGTCGTATTATCAAATACACTTGCTCTTGGTGACTAATATCAGGAGTACAATCAAGTATCACTGAAAAATACTTTGCTTGTTTGATTTTTCTAATGATTTCTTTTTTAATTACAGAAGCAAGCAAAAGTATTAACTCGTTTTGAATTTTATGCCCAAGAAAGTGAGCATGAAGATTATCATCTGTAATACATCTAACATGTTCTTGAACAATTTGGTCAAATTCAGCTAACGTTTCAATTAAGCCTAAAAAACTCTCATTACTATCTTGGTGTAATCTCTCATTAGAACCACGAAAGGCAAAATTATGTTTAGCAAGAAACTTCACTATTGAAATAGTTCTTTTTAAAACGTTTTTCCAATGTTCATTTTCTTTCCCAATCAACCTTTGAATTTTTTTATTAATAGTTTGAAAATTCCATTCTTTTACACAACTCATACCAAGTAGTCATATTGTGAACATGTTTCATGTTTGCCTCATGCTCTCTTAGTCTTTCACCAACGTGTTTCCAAGTACAAAAATCATCATTTGTTAATTGACCTCTACCAATCCCTTTTTAAAAAAAAATTAAAACAAAAACAAAATACTATATCAAGCTTTTTTGAATAAACAAGTCAATCTCTATCGCATTTTTCTCCATTTAGTAAATTTCTAGTATACAAATTAGTCGTAAAACATCTAGATAATTTATCTTTAAGACCCTTCACAATAGACAAATCTCTTCTAAGACTTTTTATTGCTAATAAATCAACTATTTTAGACTCAAGAGAATCGCATATTTTTGGATCAAATATATCTATATCTTCACCATTGTCATTAGCATTATCAACATTTTCAGCATCAACATTTTCAGCATTTAAATTATCATTCTCAGTAGCATTAACATTAGCATTTTCTCCCATATTTTTAGCATCTAAATTATCATTTTTGGTAGCATTAACATTAGCATTTTCCTCTATATTACCAATAATTTCAACATCAATATTTTGATTTTTAAAAAAAATTTATTGGTTCTTTAACAATAAATTTATCAAGAGCTCCTGATTGAGATTAAGTTAACTCATCAAGTTTTTTCTTTTTCTTACGCTTCTCACAACCAGAATTAAACTTTCTAATCTTAGGAGGCATAAAAAAATAATTAAAAAAAATTTAGAACCTAAAACATTGAAGTTGAACCGATCAATTCCGCAACGTTGAAGTTGAACCGATAAATAAAAAACTTAAGAGATAATTAATAAATAAAATTAAGTAATTAAAATTTATAAATACCTAAAACAAGTGATAGAAAATTATTTTTACAAGTTATAATACCTAATACAATTACAGTATCTTAGAAAATTATTATCACAAGTTATAGAAAATTATCTATTACAAGTTACAGTATCTTTTGTTCTATACAATAAATTCAATAAATACTACAAACTTAAGTTACAGTATTTTGCTTGTTCTATTCTATACAAGTTATAATTATTATCTAAAAAATTATGTGTTCTATACAAATACAATTATTTGACCTAAAATAATTACTACCTCAATTTTACAGTAGTCTAATTTTAACCAAATAATTTATTCAATACACCTTTATTCTATTTCAATTTCAATCTATATTTACTTTCAACCCCAAAAAAGTAAAGAAAATAAATAAATACACACCTTAAAGTAGGATAGTGAAAACCTGATTAGAAGAAAACGTGATTGGAGGAAGCTATGAAACAGTGAAGGTGGAGCTGAAGCAGTGATAAAATTGATTTTGGAAGCATGATAGAAGCTGAGGGGTTTTGCAATAAAATTGATTTTGAAAGCGTGAGAGAAGTTGAAGGATTTTGGAAGCGTGAGAGAAGTTGAAGGATTTTGGAATAAAATTGATTTTGCAAACGTGAAAGAAGTTGAGGGGTTTTGGAATAAGTTTGATTTTTACTATTAGCTTATTTTTTATTCGTTGGACCTGATATATATAATTATCCAAATAAAAAAATTTGAGGCCCTAATATTTTGAGGCCCTCGACGGTAGGTCTGTTTTCTTTGCCTTAGGATTGGTACTGCCAATAATCTCACACATATTGATAACTTTGAGTACGACTACCCCTCAAACAGCGGCGTATTCATCTCATTCAACAACTGATAAAATCTTTGTGCTTCCTAATTCGACAACTCTTCCCCGTCAAAATCTTCAGGTTCGTCATAGGTCACGTTCACACTAAAAGTATAGTCCACCATCTCACTAATCAGATTAAAAGTTTCCTCATGTTCCTGTCACACCCCAAAATTTGCTCTACTTTTTTCATTTTTTACCTGGCTTATGGCTTTTTCATCTGCATGCATCTAGAAAGCATTCATATGTAGGTTTCATTCATTTCATCTGTGTACATTCTATATTTCAACATTTCATCTCCATCTGTAACAATTAAGTCAAAGACTCTTTAATGATGGTGTTTTGTTTAAATCAGGAAGTACTTTGAATTTGAAAAATGTAAAGTAGAGAGGTGGTTGACTTTTGGTCAACAGGGTTGTTAGTTTCATGATTCTATTATTGTCCATGGTTCTATAATTGGCTAAATTTTGGTAAAACATGATTATGCACTAATGTTAAGCAAGATGCCATAACATCCACATCTACTGTTATGACAGTACTACTGTCATGTGTTTTGAACAGGATGTCATTACCAATGTCATGACATCGTTGTTTGGTGCAGCAGGAGCTAGCATGAGCTGAAGACAGAACTGTTGTCATGTGTTTTGAACAGGATGTCATTACCAATGTCATGACATCGCTGTATGGTGCAGCAGGAGCTGAAGACAGAACTGATGTCATGGATGTCATACTGAACGTCATGACATCGTTGTCTGGTATAGCAGGAGCTGCTATCATTTGACATAAGTGGTTTGGTTTGATGAGATCCTGTTGGATATATCTCATCAAATGTGTGTCGTTCAAAGATATTCATACCATGAAAGTGCATATTTAATTGGTGTTCATAAAAAGGATCTCTGAGACTTTTTAGGAAACTATAATATATTTGTTTCTACTATTATGAAGAAGATTTTGCAGAAGTGCTCTACAGGGTAAGTTTAGTGAGCTAGCACAAAGAGAATTGGATGTCATGTTGGATGCTATGACATCAAGCGTATGACATCAGGTAGCTGGCAACAAGCAGGCATGTTGGTTTTCTGTTATATTTCATGAGTTATCTCAGGCTAGATTTCAGGAGACTTATTAGGGTTCCCTAGTTATCTCGGGCGAGATTCTAGGCAGTGCTGAGCTTATCATTAAACGTCTATGACCTATTTGATAGCACCTTGGATTATGCAAAGTGGTTTAATGTGCTTAAAC